CTACAAATAAAAAAATTAGCGCCTGTAGTCAGCCCTGGCTACTTGGGAGGCTGAGGCAGGAAAATGGCTTGAACCTGGGAGGCAGAGGTTGCAGTGGCAGAGATTGCGCCACTGCACTCCAGCCTGGGGGACAGAGTGAAACTCTGTCTCAAACAAAATAAAAAGAAATTATTTTAGGCAGATAGAGAGGAAAAGGGGTCCTTGAAAAGTTTTCCTCTCTTTTAAAAGCAGCTCCAGAAACGTTTCCTGTGTATCATGAAAGCCCTGGCTTTTAGACCCAGGCTGGCATCCTTTAATATGCAAATACAGGCTGTTAGAAACTGGGTCCCCCCAACATGGCGACTCCCACCATTGTCCTCTTGCCCTTGCCTCCACCTGTGTCTTGCAACGTGGCCACCCTAGTATATCCCGATGTATGCGTAGAACCTCCTGGTGCCCAGTAGTTGCATATTAAAAGGCTGGGTGGGAAGACCAGTTTTCTTTTGTTTTGTTTGAGACAGAGTTTCGCTCTTGTTACCCAGGCTGGAGTGCAGTGATGCGATCTCTGCTCACCGCAACCTCCGCTCCCGGGTTCAAGCAATTCTCCTGCCTCAGCCTCCTGAGTAGCTGGGACTACAGGCACGCGCCACCATGCCCAGCTAATTTTTGTATTTTCAGTAGAGACAGGGTTTCACCATGTTGACCAGGATGGTCTCAATCTCTTGACTTCGTGATCCACCCACCTCGGCCTCCCAAAGTGCTGGGATTACAAGCGTGAGCCACCGCGCCCGGCCTTGTTTTGTTTTTTGAGAGTGAGTCTCGCTCTGTCGCCCAGGCTACGGTACAGTGGCAAGATTTCGGCTCACTGTAACCTCCATCTCCCAGGTTCAAGCGATTCTCCTGCCTCAGCCTCTTGAGTAGCTGGGATTACAGGCGCGCACCTCCACGCCTGACTAATTTTTGTATTTTTAGTAGAGACGGGGTTTCACCATGTTGGCCAGGCTGGTCTTGAACTTCTGACCTCAGGTGATCCGCCTGCCTTGGCTTCCCAAAGTGCCGGGATTACAGGCGAGAGCCACCGTGACTGGCCTTTTTTGTTGTTGTTGTTTGTTTGTTTGTTTGTTTGTGAGACCGACAGAGAGAAACTACATATCAGAAAAAAAAAAAAAAAGTGAACCTTAATCTGGTTTCCAGGTGCAAGATCTGCACCTATCCTTCCATTTAAGCTTCATCAAACCGCTGCTACCTCCCCGTTTCCCACATAATTCACTGCACTTCTAATTTCCCTCTAAGGGACCAGAATACCTATGCTGGTAACAAGCCACCTGAATTTGAATCCTGGCAAGGTAACTTACTACCTGACCATGGACATTGTACTATTCTTAATCTCTCCGTGCCTTGGTTTCCTCATGTGTATGAATAACATCAACACCGACATCAAAGTTTGCCGTATGTGGCCGGGCGCGGTGGCTCAAGCCTGTAATCCCAGCACTTTGGGAGGCCGAGGTGGGTGGATCACGAGGTCAAGAGATCGAGACCATCCTGGTCAACATGGTGAAACCCCGTCTCTACTAAAAATACAAAAAAATTAGCTGGGCATGGTGGCACGTGCCTGTAATCCCAGCTACTCAGGAGGCTGAGGCAGGAGAATTGCCTGAACCCAGGAGGCGGAAGTTGCGGTGAGCCGAGGTCGCGCCATTGCACTCCAGCCTGGGTAACAAAAGCGAAACTCCGTCCCAAAAAAAAAAAAAAAAAAACAAAGTTTGCCGTATTAAATTTGATAATATATGTAAAGCATTTAGAAAAGTGCCTAGCTCATAGAAAGCCCTATATGAATATTAGCTATCTTTTTTGTTTTCTTTTTTGTGTGTGTGACAGAGTTTCACTCTTATTGCCCGGGCTGGAGTGCAATGGTGCAATCTCAGCTCACCCCAACCTTCGTCTCCTGGTTACAAACTATTCTGCCTCAGCCAACCAAGTAGCTGAGATTACAGGCATGTGCCACCATGCCTAGCTAATTTTGTATTTTTAGTAGAGACGGGGGTTTCTCCATGTTGGTCAGGCTAGTCTCAAATTCCCGACCTCAGGTGATCTGCCTGCCTCGGCCTCCCAAAGTGCTGGGATTACAGGTGTCAGCTACCACCCCTGGCCTAGCTAACATTTTTATACAAGTGCTAGGTTTCGGGAGAAAGTAATGATGCCTTTTGCTTAACAAACTTTCATTGGAGGAGGAGGAGAAAGATAATAGTTATTTGAACACAGTAGAAAGTTCGAATAAAGTGGAAAACAAAAAGAACATAGAACCCGGGTGAGTGGTCCAAACCTCCGGCCAGAAACCTAAGAATCCATAGAAATGGACGGGCGCGGTGGCTCACGCCTGTAATCCCAGCACTTTGGGAGGCTGAGGCGGGTGTATCACGAGGTCAAGAGATCGAGACCATCCTGGTCAACATGGTGAAACCCCGTTTCTACTAAAAATACAAAAAATTAGCTGGGCATGGTGGCGCGTGCCTGTAATCTCAGCGACTCAGGAGGCTGAGGCAGGAGAATTGCCTGAACCCAGGAGGCGGAGGTTGCTGTGAGCCGAGATCGCGCCATTGCACTCCAGCCTGGGTAACCTCCGTCTCAAAAAAAAAAAAAAAAAAAAAAAAAGAAATGGATGGGAAGCGGAAGAGATCCTCCAGAGAGCAGGTGGCGCTGTAGCATCCCCCAGAAGGCCCGCTAACAGAAGATAGGAGGACGCGCTACCAAGGTCACGTGTCGCCGGCGTTCACTCGCTCTCTGCTCCACGTGACTCGCATCCTCACGGTTGATTGGTCTACATACTGCACGTGGGCGGGGAGACCGGGGCGGGCCAGGGAGGGGCCGGGTGGGCGGAGGAGAGGGGGCAGGGGGCGGAGCTGGAGGGGGTGGTTCCGCGCGGGGGCAGTTGGCTCCAGACAAATAAACATGGAGTCCATCTTCCACGAGAAAGTGAGTGTCCGCGTTCGGTGGGGAGCTGTCTGCCGCGCGGTAGCGGGCGTGGAGCGCGGCATCACAGCCTCCCAGGGGGCTGGGTGGGACCCGAGTCGCCCCCATCCGGATCTCGCCGGGCGATGGGCGACGCCGCACCCTCCCGCCTCCTCGGCTCTGAAAGGGGAGCATCACCGAATTCCCCACTTCCCCCGCTGCCTCCGAGGCCCCCGCCGGGGAAGCCGGGAGGGTGTATGGGCGGGGCCGGGGCGTCTCGGGACACGGGAGTGGGGTGGCGCCCAGTGGGTTCGCTTCTGCCTTTCTCCGTCACTTTCCATCTCTTTTCGAAGGATTCTTTGACCTCCGCAAGCCTTCCCTCTCCCTGACGTCTAGCTAGAGTCACCTCTGGGACATCTCCCGCGACCCCTCCTGGCAGAGTTAACTTTTTCTTTTCCAGACTGCTCAATTCTATTTTGGAGTGTAGAGTCTTCCCTACACTTAGATCTTTGGGGTCTTGTTCATGTCTTTCCCCTGCACTAGGTCCGCAAGCCTCCCTAGGGAGGGGACCTTGGCTCGCCCACACTGGGGCCTGACACTTAGGAAGTGAAGTAGGAAACCCGGCGTGTCCCTTAACCGGGAAGTCGTCACAAGAGTTTTTATTACGGGATGTTTGGGTTTGGTTTCTTTGGATACTCCCATCTTTCCGGAGCAGGCGGCCAGCTTTGTTTTTGGGTATTAGGAGTGGATTGGAATGATTTTGTTGTGGCCTGCCTAGCCTGCTGTCACTTTAACTCTTCAGTGACCATGCACTTGAAGATACTGTTTGTGATAAGTGGAGAAACTTGTCTTTACTCACATACTATTAATCCAGCTATTTGTGTGAGAGTGAAGCCTCCCCCAGGACAACTTTGGCATATGATATCTTGTTTCATAATAGTTTCGTGTTTGGAGTTGCTGGTAAGGCTGTTATTTAATAGGAGGAGCAAAGGGTTTTTGTTTTATTAAATACTTGTAAATGATCAGTAATTATCATCATTAATTATCCCAGACATTTAAAATTCACATACAACAAATAAAGCAAAGACAATAAATTTACCAGATGTAAATCTGTAGTATGAATCTATTTTAAAAATTTTTATTTTAGCGATGGGGTTTCATTCTGCCACCCAGGCAGGTGTGCAGTGGAGAGATCCTGGCTCACTGCAGCCTTGACCTCCTAGGCACAAGCGATCCTCCTGCCTCAGCCTCCAGGGTAGCTGGGATTTCAGGCGCACATCACCATGACCAGCTAATTTTGTGTGTGTGTGTGTGTGTGTGTGTGTGTAGATGAGGGTCTTGCTGTGTCGCCCATGCTGGTCTCAAACTCCTGGACTCAGGTGATTCTCCCACCTCAGCCTCTCAAAGTGCTGTGATTACAGGCATTAGCCAGCCACTGTGCCTGGAACAAACTGTTAAGTGCAATACTTCAAATTGTAGAAAACATCTCGGAAACTTTTAAAATAGACTGATTTAGAGTGGGGGAGGAAAGACTCAGTCCTATAGTTGTCATTAATCTTTTGACTTGATTGACATGGCAAATCATAGACAATAGAGATTTAGTTACTTGGCTCATTAGAGTGAGTGAAAAATACACATGTACTTTAAAAAAAAAATTTTTTTTTTTTTGAGACCAAGTTTTGCTCTTGTCACCGAGGCTGAAATGCAGTGGCACGATCATGGCTCACTGCAACCTCCTCCTCCCCGGTTCAAGGGATTCTCCTGCGTCAGCCTCCAGAGTAGCTGAGATTACAGGTGCCTGCCACCACACACCCAGCTAATTTTTGTATTTTTAGTAGAGACAGGGTCCATGTTGGCCAGGCTTGTCTTGAACCCCTGACCTCAGGTGATCCACCTGCCTTGGCCTCCCAAAGTGCTGGGATTACAGGCATGAGCTACCGCACCCGGCCATATTTTTGTTATTAACTTTCAAAGGCTTTGATGTGGGACCACATCTCAACATGGAAGGCCTTAAATATGTTCCACACTACTTCCTGAGAATTAGACAAGGTTTTCAACGATATTGATTGTTACTAGTTGGGACACATTTCTACTGAACCATGGGATGAAAGAAAGCTGAGTGCTAGCCTAGTGAAAATCTACTTACCTGAAAGAAGTCCCTCTTAATTGTTAGCATGTGTGTAGGCCTACAGATTCTTCAGGAATACATTTAACATTATCATCAAGTTGTATGTACACAGCAAATGAAGATTTTGTTTTTATTTTTGTTTTTGTTTTTTTGAGATGGAGTCTCTCCTGCCCAGGCTGGAGTGCAGTGGCGTGATCTTGGCTCACTGCAACCTCCACCTCCTGGGTTCAAGTGATTCTCCTGCCTCAGCCTCCTGAGTAACTGGGATTATAGGTGCCCGCCACCATGCCCGGCTAATTTTTGTATTTTGTTGTTGTTGAAACAGAGTTTTGCTCTTGTTGCCCAGACTGGAGTGCAATGACACAGTCTCAGCTCACTGCAACCTCCGCCTCCCTGATTTTAGCGATTCTCCTGTCTCAGCCTCCCGAGTAGCTGGGATTACAGGTGCCCACCACCATGCCTGGCTAATTTTTTGTATTTTTAGTAGAGACAGGGTTTCACCATGTTTGCCAGACCAGTCTTGAACTCCTGAACACAAGTGATCCGCCTGTCTCGGCCTCCCAAAGTGCTGGAATTACAGGCGTGAGCCACCGTGCCCGGCAACAATTTAGTTTTTTGGGCATACTCAAGAGTATGCACCTCTAACCATAGGGCCCATTGTTAATCTCCTATATAGTCCATTCTGGAAATGTTTGGGTTTACTCTGCCATTTTTCAGTTCACTCCCTTCCTTTCTGCAATATACCTTTAACCCATGCTAGGTCCTGGGTTTGGAGAGCCAGAAAACCAACTCTGGCCCTAAAGAAGCTGTGCAGGTAGGAATATCTGCCTACAGAGGGCCTTGCAACCACTTGCTCTGGAACCTTGGTTTCCGCTTTCTGAGTGATCACTTTGAATACCCTTTATTTAGTTAGAATGTAAAAACAGTTTCTCACTGATACATCTACAGTGCCTGAGATAGGGCCTGGCACAGAGTAAGTACTCAATAAATTTTTGAATGGGGTGGGGTGTGGTGAGACCTGTCTCTACAAAGAATGAACAAAATTAGCCAGGCATGTTAGCACATGTTGTGGTCCCAGATACTTGGGAGGCTGAGGTGGGAGGATGCATGAGTCACGGGGGTCAAAGCTGTAGTGAGCCAGGATTTCACCACTGCACTGCAGCCTGGGGGACAGAGCAAGATCCTGTCGCAAAAGAAAAAAAAGTATATATTTTTGAATGGATAGAGGTCTTTGATTTTCTGATATGTATATGGTGCTGTTTAAAGTAAACAACTTTTCTATATATATCTTAAGGCTTTGCAGGCCAGCTCTAGTCTCTGTCACACATTCTTATTTGTGTATGTGCACGTTTTTCCCAATGATCCAAAAATGTAAAGTGCGTCCTTAGCTACTGGGCAAGTTGAATTTGGCCCATGGGCTAGAGTTTGCCAATCCCTAACTTAAACCTTCATGCTAACTTTATGACCACTAACTACTGGATTTTTGTCCTTTGTTTTCGTTCTGGTGCCTGCTTTCTGTCATGTTTTTAAGTCACTTCACTTGCTGTGCCAGTTGTATCGGTGCTTTTAATGTAATGCACACTGAGAATACTGACTAAACTTGCTGGGGTTGTACATAAAATTATCAAAAAGATTGAAAAGATACTGAGCTTTGACGCTGTGGCATTCATTATGCCCTTTTGTGATTGCTGGCTTTTAGCCATCTTTAGGATGTTTGAGCTTTAGGAGAAGCCAAATTCTGTGTGACTTGAAGTGCTAATAGCACAGATTTTGAAACCTCTGCCTGAGTTTGAGTCTCAGCTCTGCCTTTTACTACTTGTAAAAAACTATGGTGAACCATAGATTGTAAACTCCAATCTGATAGCAGGACAGAAAATTTGTGTTAGCAGGGGCTTTTGGCGTACTGTTTGAATTTTTTTAAAAATAGGTATAGAGGCTAAGTTTGGTGGCTGATGCCTGTAATCCCAACACTTTGGGAGGCCGAGGTGGGAGGATCACAAGGTCGGGAGGATCACAAGGTCAGGACATCAAGACCATCTTGGCTAACACAGTGAAACCCCATCTCTACTAGAAATACAAAAAAATAGGGGTGATGGCACGCACCTGTAGTCCCAGCTACTTGGGGGGCTGAGGCAGGAGAATTGCTTGAACCTGGGAGGCAGAGGTTGTAGTGAGCTGAGATCATGCCACTGCACTCCAGCCTGGGCGACAGAGTGAGACTCCGTATCGGAAA